TTTTGATTACATTGCATAAATGAGATAACAGAGAATATGTGTTAAGAAAAAAAAATGGACTAAACCTAAAACGATTAGCAATATGAAAGTAAACATAAACCATTAATGATTTGAACCTAAAACCGAACAATTAATGGTTTGAACATAAATAATTTCAACTATACTTTTACACAGGTCGATAAAAGACCCTGAACATATATAAATTTGGACCCCAAAATTTTGAGGGCCTTGTTCAAAATCTCATATTTAACATGCTAAGGGACGACCCTGAATCGGACAATGAAGGTAGAGACAAAAAAAGACACCATAAAAGGTCTTTTTCCCTTCTCTCGTCTTTCTCATCTCCTCCTTAACTTACATATTGAAGCTTGGAAAATCCGGGTATAAGTCAAACCCAAGAGGTAAAATGTAATACTTGGGTGTTACTAATTTTTGCTAACTCTTCGGTTTGGTCATTTAAATTGAAGCTTTAACTCCACGCGGACAAGGCGATCGATCAGTTGTGTGTGTTAATATTGCATTTTTAACCCAGAGATGGGCAGATTCTAAATACGGCTTAGATGATGTAAGAAAGTTTGAGAAAATATTCAATAATCACATAACGATAAGATTTTTTGTATAATTGTCACTAAAGTTCAGCATGTCGGTCAAGTTGGTGTGTCATAGAGATATATGCATCTTTCTATATCGTCGGAACTTAGATATACGTGATCTACTTAGTGAGGTTGACAAAACAAACATTAATGGTTCACTACAAAATAGAAGGAGCTTTTTAGACGGACGAATCTGTCGAAAATGGAAATGTTGGGCTACAACGGATTTTTGACGGAATGTTTCATCAAAGAATTTTTGGTCGAAAATGTGTCTCTAAGAGATTTTTGAATTTGCGACATAATTTATCCGTCAAAAACCCATGAATATTCCAAGAGATTTTCAACCTCTTTTTTTAGGGATATCTAGACTTGGGAGACCAAAGGTTTTTCGTGAGACTCGTAAGACAAATTCTCAACCCTTTGATTAGATCTACAATCTGAACATTCATAATCACAAAATTGCCACGAGACTTCTCAATAATCACAAAATTGTCATCGTGCAACTCTAGACCATTACATCATTAGCTTATAAGGTTGATCAATGAACATAAATTGGTCTTACGGATCTCACGAAAAACTTTTGGTCTCACGTGAACCCAACCCTATATATATATACTGTATTATAAAGCATTTGACAAAAACTCTTAAAAAACACTTTTTTATGCATAAAGTACTGTTTAATAATGTATATTACTTAAAATTCAAGATTACAAGTATATTGTGCGTAAGTACAACTTATTAAAGCTTCATATCTGAATTCGTGTAACTAACTGCAGATAAACATAATTAAATACATGATAAACATCTCATGTTAAATGTAAAAAATCTAAAATATAATTAGGATAATCATTGAGTTCTAACAGAATACTTAACTATTATCTTTATAAAATGTTATATTATTAAATCAAAAA